CATTCCTCCCCACATGGATTTCAGCAAAGAGCTTATTAAGAGTCCTCCCAATGTAGTAGCTAGCTTCCACCAGAGCAAGTGATCCAGGAGCAAGGGCAGAAACCACAATGTCTTTGATGATCTAGCCTTGAAAGTCACATAGTATCACCTCTCCCGTGTTTTCTTGGTCATACAGACCAACCTTGAAACAAAGTAGAAGGGGATTACATAAAGCTATGAATATTGGGGTGGAATAGGGGTCATTTGGGGCCATCTTGGAGATTGGTGATCACAGACACTATTGTGCCAGTGGTTTTGGGATTAAGACAACTGGGGTTTGAGACAACTGAGGCTTCCAGATCAGTGGCACCAAGATAAAGTGTTTGAGGCCAGATCACCTCATTGAGATAGGCTAAAATGAGAAGGGGGAGCCAAGATGAGACGTGGAGTGGCATAAGGGGCACCCTGGCTTGCCACTTGGGGAGACAGAGCTTATATGGCAGATGGAGGAAGCCCTCGGCCTCAGAGTTGCAGGTGCTGGCGGTTAGCAGTTGGCAGTTGAAAGCTGGCCTGAAGGGACATGTTAAGTACCAAAGAGAGATGGGAGGGGAACCAACAGCATTTTCTGTGAGTACCTTTAGAATTCAAATTAGGTATCACTTTGAGAAGCTCCTTTGAGAAGCTCCTTTGAGAAGCACTCCATGGCCCCTCACTTTCTCTTCCGTGGTGGGTTGGGTGCCTCTCAGCTCTGCTCCCATTGTACCCATCCCTCACTTTGTATGACTGTCTGCATCTCTCCTTGTAAACTCTGAGCTCACTGGGAAGCTCCTTTGAGAAGCACTCCATGGCCCCTCACTTTCTCTTCCGTGGTGGGTTGGGTGCCTCTCAGCTCTGCTCCCATTGTACCCATCCCTCACTTTGTATGACTGTCTGCATCTCTCCTTGTAAACTCTGAGCTCACTGGGGATACAGACCCGTGTCTTCCATCTCCAAGTCTCTGTGGTGGCTAGAAGACATGACCCAGAATCTGGAGCATGCTGGGTGCTCAGTAAGTCTTGAGTGAACAAATGAATGAGGAATTCTTTTCATCATTTGGAATAGCTTTGGTTATGCTCTATGTAGTCTTGTGTCTACACGCTTTAACATAAATTATCATCATTTCTACTCCAGTGGGCTTATTTTTAATGGGAATAATTTCCTACAGAGGGTTATTCCAGGTGCAGGAAAAGCACTAACATGTTTATGGTGGATCAGCTGGCACACCAGGCCCTGACTGATGTACTGCTGAGCATCCCCCTAGATTCCTGGAGAAAAGCTGGGATGGGGCACAAGTGGCTGCCATGCAGCAGTTTTGCACCTAGAAAACCCTCATGTGGGGTGAGGTTGAGGGAGAAGGAATGGCAAGGTTTCTGCACAGACCAAGAGTGCCCCAGAGATCCCATCTAGTCTCATTTTAGATAGTCAGGATTTACTCATTGTCGTAGTCACTTAGCACTCTGGGAAGGAGGCATTGTCTCTGAGTAGAGTGCAGCAGTGACGATTTGGCTGTTATTATGGATAATAATTGTGTTTGCTGTCTGTGCTGCCTGGGCTTATTTGGGAGCATTGTTACCACTGCTATAATTTTAAATATTTTAATTAATGATACTTTGCTGTGCTCCTGCCTTGAGGCTCCTTAAGCAAAATGAGCAATTAAAAAAAACCACACACACAAAAAGCAAATGAATGAAAATAAAAGAAAGGGCATTTAAAAAATCATTCTGTTCTTATGATGTTTCAGGCTTGAAAAATGTATTCAGCTGTCTGCTGCAGGCAAGAGAAAATTCTCACTACTTCCGCCCGTTATCTTTTGCTCCCATAGTCATCCATCTCCTGTAGCTGCTGAGTGACATAGAATATACATAAAGTATCACCAAGAGAAACAGGAGAGGAGGAAAAGGGAAAAACAGTGCCCAGGAAACTTAGAGTCTTGTGCTTTTAAAAGTATGTCATTATCCTTGATCATCACCATCAATCATTGTTATCAATTATTTTTATGCTTTGCCAATATTGTGGATATCACCGAGAAGATAGCAAAGAACTGGTGTCTCTATCTGAGCTCTTTCATTCCAATGTTAGTGTATGTGCTGCTGAAGTGAACACTCTGCATCTTTCAGTGTAGTAACTGGAAATGGTTCTGGCTGAGCAATCACAAGCTTCAGAATGTTCCATGAGGCTGATGGGTGAATGCATGAGCAAGGCTAGGAAGGTAGGGTAATCTGAAATGTTAATATGTTATTTTCATGATGTAGGAGACAGGAAGGACTCCCCTCTGTATCTCATCACCAGATGAGCTCTCTGGCGAGGTCAGGATTCTAAACTCAGGACTCTTGCTTGGCCTGCGCAACTTTGACTTCCAGAGTGTTTTTAAAAGGTTTGAGGGATGCCTGGGTGGGTCAGTGGTTAAGTGTCTGCCTTTGGCTCAGGTTGTGATCTGGGGATCCTGGGATTGAGTCCCACATCAAGCTCCCCGCAGGGAGCCTGCTTCTCCCTCTGCCTACATCTCTCTCTCTCTCTCTCTCTCTGTGTGTGTGTGTGTGTCTCTCATGAATAAAGTCTTTTGAAAAATATTTTAAAAAAGGTTTGAATTAGTAGCCAATATTTAGCAAGGGAGGCATTAAACATGAAAATTTAGTTTCCAGTCTTTTTGAAAGATCAGAAGATCTGCCGATGCCAACCCACATGGCAACACTGGGCTGGTGCCCCTTCTTTGGTGTGCTGGAACTGGCTCCTGCCAGCCTGTGAGAGAGAGCATGTGCACATCTTCTCAATTTTGTGTTCAGTGACTTCACATTGCTAGCTTGATATCACTGAGATCAGCTGTAGTGGGAATATATATACCATGAATACTAGCAAATGCAACAAATTAGGTTTTTTTCTTTTTTTCTTTTTTTTCACCCTCTTTCTCTCAGAGAGCCCATTGTCAGACATTTACCAGCATGGCACTGTGGCTGCCTCTTTAGATGGGAGTGCTGGGCACACATTCTTCACACCTACAGCCCCCCCCTTGTCAACTCACAATGAAGCTGGATTGCCTGCCCTGTTCCCTGGGCTTGGACCCCACGTCAAAGATCTTCTTGCACCACTTCTTTGTGTCCTGTGAAGAAAACTTCCTTCCTGGCCTTTGTTCGGAAGAAGCTCATCAAAATAAGTGTCTGAAGGGGAAAAGATGAGGGTTGGCTTTGAGCTGGGGGAGGAGGTGGCCTGATTTATGAGGGTGCAAGACCTATGTGAGCCGGGAAAGGGAAGCATTCCTTCTGGGAGAGAGAAGATAGGACTTCTTTGTATGGCAGACACCCAGGCCCTATTTACATGGCATCCCATTTGTGTGTAGTTAGTCAAGGAGGCAGGGAAGTCATGGGTTACCAAACAGACCACTCATGCTCTAGAGCTAAGAGCTTGGGAGATACACCCTTGGCCAGACAGACTTTGTGGGCATGGGTGGCCTCTGCAGTTGACTTTAATACTCTGCTGACACTATCTTAAAATTTGTAATCCTTGTTGAACCACGGATCTGCATTTTTATTTTGTACTAACTGGGCTCTACAATTAGGTAGCTGGCTCTGTCTCCTACCAATGGACAGCAGGGGACCCAATTGCTCTGGGCTGCATAGCCTTTACCAGGGCTTCCTGGGCAACCCCAAGCAACTGGAGAGGTCCTTCACAAGTTCCCACCGACCCCTGTGGGAGGGGCTCAATCGGATTTGCATGGTCAGAAATCTAAGAAACATGGTTTTTTGGATGGGTTGAGAGCTGTCTTACAATGCTACATTTATTTTATTTTTTCCCTTGGATGAACAAGAGGTACAGTGCCAAGTTTTGGTGAATATGCTAAGATCTCTTCCCAAAGAAGAGTCTAGTGGGAGGCATGCAGAGGTGACCCATACCTCTTACTTCACATAGCACATTAGGACTGAAATCTGTAAAATGTGCCATGGGGGTGCAGAAACAGGAGCAGTTGTTCTGTGTGAGTAGGATTAGGGGAATTTGTGGCAAGGTCCTGAAGGTGAGTAAGAGCTCATTGGCTCGAGAGGTGGGAAGATAGAAGCCAGATGCTTGACTAGAACCTTCTTGCTTAGGGGTCTGCTGTGTTTTGATGGTGCTGCAATTTAGCAATACTAAGGTCCACTTAATGGCTTCCTAACAGCTTCACTCCCATCTCCCTGTGGAGGCCGAGAAAATTAAGGCCATTCCACCTTAAATTCAGCATTTGCACAAGTAAAGCCATCTCAGGCCCCTGCAATAAGAGCTGAACTTTATCTTACTTCAGTTAAGCCCCATATTAGAATGAGAACAGAGCTCAATGCCCATGGCAGAAAGTCCCATATCAGAATGAGAACAGAGCTTAACGCCCTTGAAAACCCCACATCAGAATGTAAACAGAACTTGAGAAATTCCTCCACCCCTTCTGGAGGTCCTCTGGACCAGCCCATAAAAGTAAGCTGGAACCCACCTTGGGGGTCCAAGTCCCTGCTCCGTTGTGTCAGTCAGGTATACTTGGACCCAAGCTCGAGGTTGTAAATAAACCCTCATGTGTTTGCATCGGTGTTGGCTCCTTGGTGGTTTCTCGGATACATAATCTTGGGCACAATATCCCCTGTCTTGTGCATGGCTATGATGAGGTCATGAAACCACTCTGGAGGCTGGTACAGACAACTACTTAGTAAGCAGATCTTTCTTGATTATGTGGTTGGAGAAGATTTGGAAATACTAGCAGACGTGTTTTCCCTAATACATAACTTACCTGGTGATTCTTCCTCTGTCTTGGTAGCATCCTTGCCTCAGAGAAGGGAGGTGACAGAAGACGCCTTGGCCAGGCTTTGGCTGTAAAACTGAGAATATGAAGGGCCCAAGGAATAGTGAAGTCAGAGGGAATCACAGACAACGTTTTTTGAACCCTTGGATTAGATGAGGTTTTCCTAGGGGGGGGGAGGGGTATCAGAAGGGGAAGAGAAGGGATGGGATGGTAGGGGTCCCAGGAGCATAGGGCTCCATGGCCACCCTTCCTCAACTTACCCTGGGAAGAGGAAAGAAAGTTACTTGAAGGCAGTGATCCTCAGTCCTATTAAAACTTAACTCCTTTATATGGTAAATACCTTGTGAAGTACTCTTTACTATCTTGAAGTAAGGTGAAATTCATAGGTGATATAACTCCCATCATTATGACAACCAATTAATACATCCACATATTTCCAAAATACTCCATGGGGAATGGGACTAGTCCTGGTTGAGAGCCATTTGGTTATGGATTTTCTTTCCTGGATAGGAACCAGGGAAAAGCAAACTGCTAGACTGGGAATAGGTGTGGGTTGGGTTGGGAAGAGCCTAGAGCAGTGGGCAGAGAGCATCCTTCTGTGAGGGTCCTCAGAGCTGCAAAAAACAGAGGTGGGGATGGGACAGGGCCACACAGAGTGTCCTGGCAGGAATGCTGGGAGAGAGAAGAGAGGGGCCAGATCCAAAGGAGCCTTGTGTTGGGAGTGAAGAATGGCCTAGCAGTGACCTGCATGGCCTGAGCATCCAAACCTGAAGGAGCCCAGATGTCTCTGCAGATGTCAGTATAGGTATACAGCTGCACCCCAGGCCCATCCTGCTTAAAGCTCATTGATGGAAACAATCATAATTTTCCACACATGGAGTTTGTGGATGAACATTCCTATTTGCTACAATTCTTTTTTTAAAAAGATTTTTTTTAAAAAATTTATTTGAGAGAGTGAGAGCACGAACAGGCGGTAGGGTGGGGGTGCAGAGAGGAAAGCATATTTTCCAGTGAGCAGGGAGCCTGATGCAAGTCTCGATCCTAGGACCCTGGGATCATGACCTGAGTTGAAGGCAGCCACTTAACCAACCGAGCCACCCGTGTGCCCTACTTGCTACAGTTCTATTCAGAAGAATCTCTCACTTGTTTGGATTCAGCCTCCCCTCACCTCCTCTACTGTGGAAGAGTAACCATAGCTTATGATTTGTCACCTTAGCACACATCTCTGCTGCTTAAAATCCAACTATTCCTGTCCCTTGGAAGATGAAGAATCTGGTACAGAATGAAGATAGTCTGTGGGTTTTATGAAACATGAAAAAGAAAAGAGATCTCAAGTGTAGATACTTGGAAGGTAAAAACTGCTCCTTTGGGGGACAATAATCACATAATCTTACTTTCTACCTTTGCTAGGAAATGAGGATAGTGGTAGTGGTGAATATATTTGCTCAGTTGACAATGGAATAGGTTGTAGAGGGAAAGAACCCTTCTTCTGAATCTTGGTTTAGTTTTTCAAGCCATTCAGTTAACTTCTTGGGAACTCAATTTCTTTATCTGTAGAATGGGTGTGGTAACATATAGAGAGCTCTTTGTCAGCTGTATGGTCATGGTTGTTAATTATTGTCATGAAAATCACAGCAGGAGCAGATGAGTTTTGGCATCCAGTGGCTTGATAGGGGTAAGTAGATTGCCTTTGGTCTCAGTGGTTTCTGCCTCGGATAATTACTACTTAATTCTTTGATTGACACTTGAATCTAGAAAAATTTCTTCGAAATCACTGTAATCATTCCGTGAGTAAACTAAGAAATATATTTCACTATATAGTTGAGTGAAATGTTAACCATTTGCATATAGACTGTATCTGTAGGAGTTTAATTCTGATCATTAATTCCCTCACATTGACTCTTGGTTAGTTTTCAAGTTGGCTATGTATCTGTTAAAGGGTTGTCTGAAACCCATTCATCCTTCTAGGCAGCCAGCCATCCAACCAGTAAAAACACACTTGTTGAAGTATGTAATTTGTCCAACTACCTGGGAGAGGTCCTGTGGGAATACAGCCATGAATCAGGTATAGCACTATTGTGGAGGCTGAGTATCAGCCCCCTGGACTCTTGACTATTTACTTTCTCTATTTTTGATGCTATTTCTTGAATCTTTATTAAAGATTGTATACTTTATTTAGTTTAGTTGTTTTATTTGTAATTCCTAATGGATTCTTTTTTTTTTTTTTTAGGCATGTGAAGGACATTTGGACTGAAAAGGATGAGAGTGATATCAGGAAGATTGTGTCTTCAAAAGTAAAGTAACTGATACCTGGCAACATATATCCTATTTATTTATGTTATAGATTTACCAAAGTAAAATTAAGAATTGAAAAAGGAAAAGGAAATCCAAAGTGTCAGAAAAATATATACCCTTGGGGTGGAGAAAAGCTTCTAAAATAAGCCAGGAGACCCATAATCCAAAGAAGAAAACATTGATGTATTTGATAAGATAAATATTTAAAACTTTTATACATCATATGGTACCATAAACAAAATCTAAAGCCAAAACACTGGGGGGAAAATACTTACAACTCATATGATAAACAAAAGGTTAGTGTCTCAAGGCAGTACAGAATGTTAAGAAAAAGGCATATAGCCATTGGAAGGAGAGGCAAAGGCAAGTCATACCTGAGGAGACAAACATGGTAACTAAGCATATGAAAAGATGTACAGCCCTACTGGAAATCAGGAGAGTGCAAATTAAAAGGATGGGATACCATCTTCACTCAACTGATCAGTAAAACATAAAACGATTGAGAATTGCCAAAGCTTGGGATGGTTTGGGGAAATGGGCTCTGTTGTAGGAATATGAGTACTTACAACATTTTTGGCAAGTAATTTCAACATAATTTAAAAATAAAAAATGTACACATCCTTTGATCCAATAATCCCACTATTTTAGAGAAATAGAAGTACTAGTACATAGGGAGAAATACACAGTTACCTATTGTAGCAATGATTGTATAAAATAGGGACAGGGAGCTGGAGAACATGGATGCTCAGGAACAATTGAATAACTTATAATACATCTGTAGTATGGGTTATTATACAGTCAATAAAATGCATGACTTGGATTTATGTTTATTGCCTGAAAAGGATCCACATTTTAAGGAAAAATTAGGTCAAACAGTAAATGCACATGTATGATTAAGGCCTGGAAGGAGTTATGCAAACAAATACTTCAAACTGCAGACACTAATTACTTCAAGGCGGTGAATTTGAGGGCAAGAGGAGCCTAAGAATCGGCATTTTTGTATGTTTCTGTTTTGTTTGAATTGTTACACAATAAGGCTTCCATTGAAGTAGAAGTGAAGTTAAAAAAAAATACAAAGGGGGGGGGTAAGAGAGTGGGAGGGAGAGAGATAGAGAGGAGGGGAGAAAAGGGGAAAGAGAGAGAAAACAGGCTAGAGCATTAACATTTTAGACTTTAGCCTCATGGGGGAGAAACAGTGATTTCCTGACCATAAGTAAAAATGGTCATAAGTCAAAGGCAGTAAGAGTGAACAGAAACGCCGCTGTAGAGTTTGGCTTTTTAACCTGACGTCGTTATTCTTATAAATTAGAGATATGGGCTGTTTTTGGGTTAATACTCAGTATTATAGTAGGGAGGCTCTCTGAGTCTCCCTTTTAACAGTGAAGAATTTGTGTCCTCATTTTTTGTTGTTGTTAACATCTTAGCAGCTTTATTTGTTGAAGGCTTATTTGAGATCCTGGTTGTTTAAAAAGAAGAGAAAATAAGGAAAGATAAATAAGCCCAAGAATAGGGGGAAAATATTATTTGTGTCCCTCAGTAGTTTGAAGGTTGCTGTAGTTCATCTTCAGATACCGAGAGTCATGAAAGATTTATTTAACCACATTTCTCTTAAGGTCGAAGGAGTTGAGATGATCACTCTCTCATCCATGCTTCCTTTCTTCACCCAGGTCCTCTTATTTATTTCTCTCTTTTCCTAAGCCAAAATTTGAGCTGCTGTGAGAGATTCTTAGTCAGTTCCTAATATTTGAAACCGCTTTCAACAATGCCATCCATCTCCTCCCCCTACAAGTGGCATTATCTCCACATCCTTGGAGATGAGCCGCCTCCTTCCTCTTTTATCACTCTGAGCTGTACACGTTTGGTTACAAATGCCCCGATAATGTTCTCGTTGGTCTCTCACAAGTGAAATAACAGATAACCATTCTCCCAGTGATGGCGATGCTGTCATCCTGCACCCAGATAACCAGGAAAGGAGGTATCCACTCCCATTGCGTGCCATGATTAAGATCTCACTGGAGAAGATACAAGTGAGATTGGCTTTACAAAATAATATCTGTGCTCAGATCATTTTACTCAGCTCAGATAGCAGCAAACATCATTTCTTGGGGACCTCCCCCTGTAATAATCTGCAGTGGCTTTCAAACACGTATGCTACCACCTGCCCTACTGGTGAGATAAGAATAAAAGTATTAGATGGCATATTAAATTGTGCCACGTTTTTTTCATATTACTCATACAAATGAGATAACAGCTGCAGGATAGTCTGTTTCGTTTTTGGCAGAACTCCCAATCATTGTGCTGCAGAAACAAGAATAGCCTCCTGTCTCGGCAGCGTGGACTCTGGTCTGTGGGTATTGCTGTCTCCTAAGTCCACCTTCCTGGATTGCTTGATGTGAATCAACAGGGGACAAATCCTTTCATCCTAAACCAGATGTAGGCTTAATGTACAGTTACCTAAAGGAGGTGATCCATAGAGTGTTTCCCGAATTTCAGTTATGTCCTACTTTTTAATGATGTTTGTTGTACTGGAATATCACCAATAATGTTACTTAATACTTTCCTTTGAGTTTTAATTTTAACTACTAATTGCGATTAGCTTTATCTTAACCAGCAAGAGTGATGAAATCACAAGTTTGATATGCTGCTTTCATTTTATTATATCTGATACTAAAATAAACATGTAAGCCATTAATATTGTTTTCTGGCATCATCTTAAAGAATTTTGAGTGATACCCATGGATATTTAAGAAACATCCTGTTCGAAAAACACAATTAGAATAGTTCTCACTAAAGGGTACACTGCTAGCAGAGATAATTTCTACTATTAGAATAGTTCTCACTAAAGCATACACTACACAGATCATTTGTTGGTGGCTGCTTTTGGTGAGCAATCTCAGGCCTGGAAAAAGTAGAGAGAAAAAGCTATAGATATAAGAAGGATTCAGAAGGGAGATGTTGGAGGGAAGTGAAGTCCTGTCTAAGGTACCATCTCATCCTGGTCAGACTTGGATGAGTAAGATGGAGCCAGGGGCACTTTGACTGTCACCTTTCTGGGTTATTGGTTATTTCCCAGAGCCTTGACACATTTTCAGGCACTGCGACTGTGGGATGAGGCTTCTTCTGCTTCTTGCCCCTTCTGTGCTAGCTCACATCTGGACTCCCTCGGAGAGAGCTGACTTTCACAGAGGATCCCAGTCAACACCATGCACAGGTTTGTGTTCAATCCATTAATGTCCAGACTGTGATCTAGGGCACCAATCCACCAGCATCATGAAGAAGAGGCAAGGATGGTATAGGATGGCAAGTGCCAAGTGTTGGAGGGCTAAGTATTCTGTTACAATTATCTTATTTATCCAAGGAAAATGGCTCCATTGTAAAGCCATTTTATATGTGTTTATATATGTGGTTTTAAATGCAAAAACAAAACAAAACAAAACAAAAAAACAGTTTAAGAGGTGAGGGCTGGAAAGCATTAATTTAGAGATAGCAGAAGCCCCTAACCACTGTCAGAGAAACTTCTGTTCCAAGCTTTTCTAGGTACCTGTAATCCCTGGCTCTGAGAACTCTGCTGTAGTAACCCCTTCTGTGACAGTGTTCAGCTATATACTTCCCAGTTATTACCCTGAACAAGGACTACTGGACTTCATGGTGGTGATCAAAACTGCTCCGGTCAGTTCATTAGAGTTCTGCCTTTTTATGGCCAGATGATGACCTCTGGCTGGCTGTCCCAAACATGGTCCTAAATGCCACAGGAGGGCTACCTTAGACATGTGGTCTCTTCTCTTACAGAGCTTTCAGAAAGGCTGCATGGATATGGAGCTGAATAGGGCATACAGGTGGTTAATAGGCAGATGAGCAGGAAAGAGTTAATCACCAAACTAACCAGGGTTTATTTGTGGGCCTGCCAAGCATCCAGGCTGAGCTTGTGGGAGTACCACAAGGGAGCGGTTAATCAGACATCAGTTTCCAGGTGTGTGCATGACCCGACTGATGACCAAAGATTGAACTAAATATCTGTGAACAGTTCATGTGTACAAGCCTGAGGCTCACAGGAGACAACAATCAATCCCTGCTTCATCCTTTAATCCATATTCATTGCCAACAACAATCTAGCAAAATTCAGTGGGGGTTTTTTTGGTACTCTGGTTAAATAAAGCAGGAAGGCATCTGTAGTGTTTTGCAAATAGCATTTTGCCCAGTTGTTCAGCACTGATTAGCCCATGTTTGCCCTTCACTTTCTCAAATTAACTTTTGTCATCATCTTGCATACCCATGAAACTTGGTTCCCCTGGGCTGCTGATTGCTGCTTTTCCTTAAAACTCACTGATTATACCTGCACCCACTGGCCACATCCCTGAACAGTTTTGCCTCTGGTTCTTTCAGTGCCTATTTCTCTCTAGCTTCCCTCTCTACCTTTTGCTAATAGAAAAAGGAAAAAGAATTACTTCAAGAATTTGCACATTTAATAGAATATTCTAATTTCTTAACTTCAAATTGTTCCTCTTTGCCCCATTAAAAATAGAGAAAAGGAAGGAAGGAGGAAGACAAGAAGGAAGTAAATAAAGGAGTGAGTGAGGACAGAGAAACACTTGACTAGGGTTGAATCTTTTCCCAATTTAAAAAAAATTGAACATTTATGTGTAATGTAGATTATTACAAAGGTAATAGAACCACATTAAAAAATGTTGGAGTGAATGAAAAGAAAAAACTCTGTAATACTAGTAATGTAACAGAATTGGTTTTAGCAAGTTGGTAATTTCCTACTAGACTCTTTGCTAAGCGCTCACTTTTAAAATCTAGTTGTACTCCTATTGAATATGCAAAATTGTTCTCTTCATTTTTCACTTAACATTCAACCATGAGCATTTTTCATGGTGCTGTGTGACCTTTATAACCATAGTTTTTAATGACTGCATGGTTTCCTTCAGTGAAAAAAAAAGTACATATCTATTTCTTGATTGTTTTGATATTTAGATTGTTTGCAATTAAAAATTTTCTACTGTATCATTGAAATGGTACCATTCATGGTTCTGTTCCCTTACCCCTATTTTTGCATTATTTTATTAGGTTTTATTTCCAGAAGTCAGATAACCAGACAGAACCCATGGACATTTTACATTTTACAGGGCCTGATTCATCATTTGAAGTTGGGTTCTTTTTTTTTTTTTTTTTTTTTTTAGATTTATTTATTTATTTGAGAGGGAGAGTATGTGCTAGTAGGAGGAAGGACAGAGGGAGAGAATCTTCAAATCTTCAAACAGACTCCCCATTCCCCTCCCCACTTCAAGGAGACTCTCCACTGAGCATGGAGCCCAACATGGGGCTCAACCTCACAACCCATGAAATTGTGACCTGAGCTGAAACCAAGAATTGAACCCTTACTAGTTAAGCCCCCCAGGCACCCCTGAAGTTGCCTTCTAAAAGCACATGAGCCAAAACAAATAAATAGATAAATAAAAGCACATGTGCCAGCTGAGTCTTTACCAGTCATCTTAGAGGGCACATCATGCAACCTCACTGAATTCTCCCACTTGTTTTTGCTCCTCCCATAAAGGTGGGCTTCTCATATCCCTTATGGGGGGGGGAGGGGGGAAGAGATTCTCATCACAGATTTCTTACCATTTGCCCCCAATTTGAAGCCAAAGAAGCTTAATTTATCTTGTGAATGGTCCCCATGCTATAGCGGATACCCTTAAAAAGTTGGTGTTCAGCCCTTCACCCTTGGTGAAGTTTGGCAGCTATTGAAGACAACTGAGTAATGATAAGAAGAAGAGCTTTAGGCCAATCAGAATCTTAGGAAGGGGATTGAGAAAGTGAATCCCCACAACTGATGATATCTGAATGACTATAATATATCTGATAATAAATAATTTATTGAGTACCCAGTCCCAGTTTATGATGTTTTGACTTAGGATTTTTTGACTTTAACATGGTGTGAAAGTGATTCATGTATTCAGTAGAAATTATACTTCAAATTTTGAATTTTGATCTTTTCCTGGACTAGTGATATGTGGTAGGACATTCTTTTGTGATGTTTGGCAACAGCAGTGAGCTGCTGCTCCCATGCAGTCATGTGGGTGAACAACCAATACATTTACAAGAATTTGCACCCATATAACCATTCTGTTTCTCACTTTCAGTCCAGTCAAGAAACTACATGAGATAGTCAACACTTTATTATAAAATAGGGTTTGTCTTACATGATTTTGCCCAACTGTAGGCTAATGAATGTGTCCTGAGCAAACTTAAGGCAGGATAGGCTAAGATATGATATTTAGTAGGTGAGTTGTACTAAATGCACTTTTGACTTAAATTGTTTTTAATGATGGGCTTACCGAGACATAATCCATGGTAATTCAAGGAAGATCTATGTTTTTATGTGTATTAGCCACTGTGACAGGCATTGGGTATATAGTATAAATTCTCCCATGAAAGAGCTTACAGAGCTTGTTGGGGAAATGACAGGCCTGTGAATAACTGTTACAAAGACAGAAGGAAGGACAAGAAGGAATCAGGATAAGTTAGGAGTCAAAATCCTCACTGAAGAATCTTTACACATCAGGTCCTGTGTTTCAAAACTTTGTTTTGGTATGATAAGAGGGGCAGAGGAGGACAGAGCAGGAAGTCCTTGCGGCAGCTTCACCGAATTAAGATGAATACTGGTTGCAGGAGAAGATACGACCCTGTGTGGAGGAATTTGAAAAAGCATTTGCCTACCCACTGACTGTTCCTGACAGGGGGTGCATGTGTTCAGGTGGGTCAGATACCTTGAGCACAAGTTGATGGCTTTCACTCTGGAGTTCCAAAGATTGAACAATCATATTGTCCCACCCTGGAAAATTTCTGGCCTGAGAGTGTGGGCTTATAATGAATGGCTGACTCTCAGAGTCAGATTGACAGATGACAGGAGTGGAATATTAAGGAAAACTAGGTATTATTTATTCCTGGGTATATATGGTTCTTTAAATCTTCCTACATAATGCATCTCTTCTTTTTCTTTTCTCTTATAGAATACTTAATTAAAATTGTAGAGTTTGAAAATAGAAGGTGACCTTAATCACCTCAAAGGACTCTCAGTAATATGACAGATTAAGGTAATAGATGTGATCATTCCCCTTTAACTTCAAATACATAGTAATGCTAGATAAAAGGAAAATGTAATGGACTTTTGGTGAAATTGCATTGCCGAACTTGGAAGAAAGAAAAGTTCATCTCAGATATAGGGAAAGAGAGTGAAATGAATATACTTATGGTGAGTGAGTGAGGGAGAGCTGTTGCAGGGGACTCATGGGAGTTTAGCTTCGTTGTGAGACTTGAGCTGGGCCCATAGCGTCCCCATGAGGACAAGTTATATGGCCTCCAGATCATAGGAAATGGAGGAAGGAGGAATCCTGTATACAGTCTGGAAAGTCAAAGAGCTGCCCACTCATAAAATGTGGACCAGAAAATTGCATCCACTGACCAGGGGAAGCAAATGGGAGCTTGTCATTTGCTCAGAGATTTAGGCAGAAAGAAAAAAAAAATCATTTAAGAAACCTAATCCCCAGGCCTGAACTATATAGAGGTATGTGATCCAAATTTACACTACCTGTCTGGTGTGGGACACCCAAGCTGAGAATTTATCATAAACCTGGTCAAGGACCATTGAAACCCTATAGGCTCCAGTAAAAGCAAATATAAAACTTCTCAGCAGGAATTCTTTCACAATCCAGGGCACACAGAATTCCATAGACCTAATACCCCTGATGAAGAGAGGCTCACAATAAAAAGCAGACAAACCTCATGAATCAAACCATCACACATCAGAGTCAGGAGACACCACAAACAGGAATCCTTATCCACTACCGGCAAGAATGTCAAATGGTAAAACTACACCAGGGAGCAATTTAGCAAGATCTACTGCATTGAAGATGAGCAAACACTATACCCAGCAAGCTCATGTATAGGTATATGCTCTAGAAAATTGTCACATGTATATAAGATGTGCCCAGAGATCTTCAACTGCCTCATTGCTTATAAAAGCAAAATTATAATGATGACTAAAAAAACCCAAATATTGAATCAGAATGGGAATGGATATGTAAAGGATGATTTATTCATATATTAGAATACTATCAATTCATTAAAATGAATGAACATATCCAAATGTATAAATCTTAGAAACATGATGTTGAGTGAGAATGCCAAGTTTCTCAAGGATAAGTATAGCAT